CCTTGTTGTTTTCAGTATATACCGGGTATTTCAGGCCAAGTAACAGTGAGATACAGTGCCCCCATGCTGTGTTCAGTATATACCGGGTATTTAAGGCCATATAACAGTGAGCTACAGTGCCCCCTTGTTGTGTTCAGTATCTACCGGGTATTTAAGGCCATGTAACAGTGAGCTACAATCCCTTCAAGTTGTGTTCAGTATATACCGGGTATTTAAGGCCATGTAACAGTGAGCCACAGTCCCCCTAAGTTGTGTTCAGTATCTACCGGGTATTTAAGGCCATGTAACAGTGAGCTACTATTTAAGGCCATGTAAGTACCCCTAAGTTGTGTTCAGTATATACCGGGTATCTAAGGCCATGTAACAGTGAGCTACAGTCGCCCTAAGTTGTGTTCAGCATATACCGGGTATTTAAGGCCATGTAACAGTGAGCTACAGTCCCCCTAAGTTGTGTTCAGCATATACCGGGTATTTAAGGCCATGTAACAGTGAGCTACAGTCCCCCTAAGTTGTGTTCAGTATATACCGGGTGTTTTAGACCATGTAACAGAGAGCTACAGTCCCCCCAAGTTTGGTCTTCAGGAACCCAGACTTGTGGTAAGTGTTCGGGTGCTCAGACTCACTGACACACGTCATCGTATCCCAATTGCGTAGATTGATGCTCATGGTGTTGATAACTGGACGATAACGGGTTTATTTACATACCTCCGCCATATTGCTGGGATATTGCTGAGTGCTGTGTTAAACAATAAACACACACATCGTTTTCATTAAAAATGGTCTACATTTGGTCTGGAGGTAACTATGTGAATCAGGATGTGTAGCTTGGCTGATGACGTGCCACCGTATCCTGACGTCATATGACGTCACATATAATAGTGATCGCTGGATTGTCTATTCCAGAATATTCTTTACAGGCAGCTTGAATGTTCCTGAGAGCCAACAAACAAACAGAAAAAAAAACACACACACAAATGAAAACAGGATCATGCAACAGTTTTAATTACCAGTCCATCTTTTGAAGCCAGTCTTCATTTCCAAATATCACAAAATATTTCGGACAGGGCGAAAATTCATTGTACTCTAAGCGTTCGTGTCCTTTTCGTAACACCAACAACTTCATGACAACAGAGAATGTGTCGGCACTTTTCCCTGAACAGCTTTGACGAGAAACTGTATATGAAGGGGTTGGCAACGGCGTTCACGTGGGGAAAATACCAGACCACATTGACCAGCATCATCTTGGTGAAAGACAGGTCATTAAAGTTGGGACGCAGGGTAGTAAACAAGGGAAAGGCCATCATAGGAGAGACACAGACGAGGTATACAATGGTCAGGATGAAGAATATCTTTGTGGGGATTACTTTCTTTTGAACCGTATCTCTGTGCTGTTCCTTGTGTTGATGGAGGGTTCGTCCTATGAGACCATACAGTATTCCCATGAAAGCCGCTATTCCTATATACCATATGCTCAGAATAATTAAGAGTATCAATGCGTTTCCGTTCTGCTTGAATTTTTCCTGATAGTCACACCCAGGGAGCTCAATGCTGTCGTTGCCCAGATGTAGTTTCTTGTGACTGTCACCCACAGTTAGGAGAACAGGTATGCTAAGCATTAGCACAATAATACTGCCTCCGAGGAATAACTTCTTAGCCAGTGACTGGGTTATCTGTGAGGCCAGAGGATGACATACCTTCCTGTACCGCTCATATGCGATGATGCTCAGAAGGATGCCCGAGGTGACGGTCGTGAAATTGCTCATGAACGTTATGAACTTGCACATGTGTGGCGTGTTATTGGAACGTGCGAAGAAGGTGAAATAGAACGAAGTTGGAAGACATACACAGATGCTGAACAAGTCAAGCGTCGCTAAGGATTTGACAAAAAGTCCGTACATTGTAGGTGCCATGTGACGATGGTATATGTACAGAACCAAGCAGTTGCCAAGGAAACCGAGCACGAATAGGATGACCACGAAGACCAGAACAGGCCACAGAAGTCTGATTGACATGTCGGCATATCTGGACAAGGTGCAGTTGAGGCCGTCCATCACCTGGTGTGTGAGGTGCTGACTGAAATAGGAATACTTGTTGATTAAAGATCTGAGTACTGATTCCATTCTGGAATATATTTGTTCAGTAAGGGTATATCAGCCAGAACAACTCTTTACTAATAGTATCTAATTATATAGACCTATTGGTGTTGATAGTTGGTATCTTTAAATTTTCCAGAAAATAACTGATTTTTTGTTATCATGTTCGCTGAATGTTTTGAAATACAATATATGTTGCTTATACAAGAAACTGAAGTGATTTTTGCTGTCAATGTACAGACACTGATGTCCATAGTGTTATGTGAGGGGTGGGGTGGGGGTGGGGGCATTGATTTTGTATATGACATGGGGGGCATTCACATTGTACATGCTTCTCCGTGAAAATCATCATCAGTCCCCTAGCAATAAATTATGAACGGTCCCTTAACTAGAGCTAATATTTCTCCTCTATATCCAAGTGAAACGCCATTATCAGTGGATCCGAATACATAGATACGATACCAAGGAGGAGGAAAATACCAACTAGGGGAGAAGCAAAACAGGCGTTAGAAAAGTGCAATATACAGTTTCTGTAATCCAGTAACTGTGACTGCAAAAAAAATCAAACTGGTTCCATGGATCTTATGCGCTACGCTTAGACACGGACACAATGGCGACACGGACACAATGGCGACGCGCTTGACAACACGCCATATATTTACAATAGACAACGGGTGGCTAGATTATTTCTTGCTGACTGCAGAAAACCGAGCCTACCTTAACAGGAGTTATTCGTTTCCTTCTATCCCCAAGTGAAACAACATGAACACTGAATCTGCATAAAACACTTACCGTAGAGGTAGAATCAAGGAAACCGAAACAGACGCTTGTTTCATTATGTACAGTCATTATTGCTGACGGCACAAAACTGTTCTTGGGGAATTTTGGATTCACATTAAATGTCACTGTGCAGCTGCAACATAGCACGTAGCTCTGTAGGCTGCTTTCGTGTGGCTGCAAGTGTACTGCTTACACAGCAAAGGCACTGTAGCTCACTTTTACTTGGCCTAAATACTCAGGTTGGTTTAGTTGTTGTTTAACGCCGCAATGAGCAATATTTCAGCTATATGGCGGCGGTCTGTAAATAATCAAGTTTGGACCAGACAATCCAGTGATCAACAGCATGAGCATTGATCTACGCAGATGGGATACGAGGACATGCATCAACCAAGTCAGCGAGCCTGACAACCCAATCCCGTTAGTCGCCTCTTACGACAAGCATGGGTTACTGAAGCCAGTTCAAACCCGGTTCTTAATGGGTCTAAATACGAGTATATACGGAACACAAGTAGGTGGCACAGCAGTCGTCTCTTACTTGGCCTTAAATACCCGATATATGCTGAAAACAACAAGGGGCACTGTAGCTCACTCTTACTTGGGCCTCTAATACTCGGTATATACTGAACACAACTTAGGGGGTACTGTTGCTCTCTCCTACTTGGCCTTAAATACCAGGTATATATTGAACACAACTTGGGGGCACTTTGGTTAACTCTTACTTGGCCTCAAATACCCGGTATATACTGAACACAACTAAGGGGGCACTATGGCTCACTCTTACCTGGCCTTGAATACCCGGTATATACTGAACACAACTAGGGGCCCTATAGCTCACTCTAAATTGGCCTTTAATACCCGGTATATACTGAACACAACTTGGGGGGTACTGTTGCTCACTCCTACTTGGCCTTAAATACCAGGTATATATTGGGCACAACTTGGGGGCACTGTGGCTCACTCTTACTTGGCCTTGAATACCCGGTATATACTGAACACAACTAGGGGCACTGTGGTTCACTCTTTCTTGGCATTAAATACCCGGCATATAATGTACACAATAAGGGGGCACTGTAGGTTACTGTTATTTGAACTTAAATACCCGGTATATACTGAACACAACTAGGGGCACTGTAACGCACTCTTAATTGGCCTTAAATACCCGGTATATACTGAACTAGGGGTACTGTAACGCACTCTTAATTGGCCTTGGTACGGTATATACTGAACACAACTTGGGGCACTGTGGCTCACTCTTACATGTCCTTAAATACCCGGTATATACTGAACACAACAAGGGGCACTGTAACGCAATCTTAATTGGCCTTAAATACCTGGTATATACTGAGCACAACTTGGGGCACTGTGGCTCACTCTTACTTGGGGGGCATATACTGAACACAACCAGGGCACTGTAACGCACTCTTAATTGGCCTTAAATACCCGGTAGATACTGAACACAACCTTGGGGTCACTGTGGCTCACTCTTATTTGTTAAATACCCAGCATATACTGAACACAACCAGGGGTTGTAACGCACTCTTAATTGGCCTTAAATCCGGTAGATACTACCAGGCATTAAATACCCGGTATATACTGAACACAGTAAGGGCACTGTGGCTCACTCTATTTGTTCATGTGCCCCCAAGTTGTGTTCAGTATATACCGGGCATTTAAGCCCAGTAACAGTGAGCCAAGTGCCCCCAAGTTGTGTTCAGTATTTACCGGCAACAAGTTTGGTTGTTCAGAACCCAGACTTGGTAAGTGGTAAGCATCCCAATTGCGTAGATTGATACTCATGGTGTTGCTAACTGGACGATAACGCGTGTATTTACATACCTCCGCCATATTGCTGGAATATTGCTGAGTGCGCTGTTAAACAATAAACACACACATCGTTTTCATTAAACATGGTCTACGTTTGGTCTTGAAGTAACTATGTGAATCAGGATGTGTAGCTTGGCTGATGGTGTGCCAACGTAACCCAAAGTCATATGACGTCATTTATAATAGTGATCACTGGATTGTCTATTCCAGAATATTCTTTACAGGCAGCTTGAATGTTCCTGAGAGCCAACAAACAAACAGAAAAAAACAACACACACAAATGAAAACTGGATCATGCAACAGTTTTAATTACCAGTCCATCTTTTGAAGCCAGTCTTCATTTCCAAATATCACAAAATATTTCGGACAGGGCGAAAATTCATTGTACTCTAAGCGTTCGTGTCCTTTTTGTAACACCAACAACTTCATGACAACAGAGAATGTGTCGGCACTTTTCCCTGAACAGCTTTGACGAGAAACTGTATATGAAGGGGTTGGCAACGGCATTCACGTGGGGAAAATACCAGACCAGATTGACGAGCATCATCTTGGTGAAAGACAAGTCATTAAAGTTGGGACGCAGGGTAGTAAACAAGGGAAAGGCCATCATAGGAGAGACACAGACGAGGTATACAATGGTCAGGATGAAGAATATCTTTGTGGGGATTACTTTCCTTTGAATCGTATCTCTGTGTTGCTTCTTGTGTTGATGGAGGGTTCGTCCTATGATACCATACAGTATTCCCATGAAAGCCGCTATTCCTATATACCATATGCTCAGAATAATTAAGAGTATCAATGCGTTTCCGTTCTGCTTGAATTTTTCCTGATAGTCACACCCAGGGAGCTCAATGCTGTCGTTGCCCAGATGTAGTTTCTTGTGACTGTCACCCACAGTTAGGAGAACAGGTATGCTAAGCATTAGCACAATAATACTGCCTCCGAGGAATAACTTCTTAGCCAGTGACTGGGTTATCTGTGAGGCCAGAGGATGACATACCTTCCTGTACCGCTCATATGCGATGATGCTCAGAAGGATGCCCGAGGTAACGGTCGTGAAATTGCTCATGAACGTTATGAACTTGCACATGTGTGGCGTGTTATTGGAACGTGTGAAGAAGGTGAAATAGAACGAAGTTGGAAGACATACACAGATGCTGAACAAGTCAAGCGTCGCTAAGGATTTGACAAAAAGTCCGTACATTGTAGGTGCCATGTGACGATGGTATATGTACAGAACCAAGCAGTTGCCAAGGAAACCGAGCACGAATAGGATGACCACGAAGACCAGAACAGGCCACAGAAGTCTGATTGACATGTCGGCATATCTGGACAAGGTGGAGTTGAGGCCGTCCATCACCTGGTGTGTGAGGTGCTGACTGAAATAGGAATACTTGTTGATTAAAGATCTGAGTACTGATTCCATTCTGGAATATATTTGCTCAGTAAGGGTATATCAGCCAGAACAACTCTTTACTAATAGTTGATAATTATATTGACCTATTGGTGTTGATAGTTGGTATCTTTAAATTTTCCAGAAAATAACTGATTTTTGTTATCATGTTCGCTGAATGTTTTCGCCAAAATGTTTTGAAATACAATATATGAGTTGCTTATACACAAGAAACTGAAGTGACGAGCCAACGCTTTAACAATTTTGCTGTCAATGAACAGACACTGATGTTCATAGTGTTATGTGAAGGGTGGTGTGTGTGTGTGTGTATGTGTGTGTGTTTGTATATGATATGCGGGGGTCATTCACATTGTACATGCTTCTCCATGAAAATCATCATCAGTCCCCTAGCAATTAATTATGAACGGTCCCTTAACTAGAGCTAATACTTTCCCTCTATATCCAAGTGAAATGCGCATTATCAGTGGATCTGAATAATCTGAATACATAAAAACGATACTAAGGAGGAGGAAAGTACCAACGAGGGGAGAAGCAAAACAGGCGTTAGGAAGTTGCAATATACAGTTTCTATAATAACTGCTGACTGCAAAAAAAGCAAACTGGTCCCATGGATCTTATGCGCTACGCTTAGACACGGACACAATGGCGACGCGCTTGGCAACGCGCCATATATTTACTACAGACAACGGGTGGTTAGATTTTTTTCCCTGCTGACTGCAGAAAAATAAGCCTACCTTAACAGGAGTTAATCTTTTCCCTCTATCCCCAAGTGAAACAACATGAACACTGAATCTGCATAAAACACTTACCGTAGAGGTAGAATCAAGGAAACCGAAACAGACGCTTGTTTCATTATGTACAGTCATTATTGCTGACGGCACAAAACTGTTCTTGGGGAATCAGACATTTTGGATTCACATTAAATGTCACTGTGCAGCTGCAACATAGCACGTAGCTCTGTAGGCTGCTTTCGTGTGGCTGCATATGTACTGCTTACACAGCAAAGGCACTGTAGCTCACTTTTACTTGGCCTAAAATACTCAGGTTGGTTTAGTTGTTGTTTAACGCCGCACTCAGCAATATTCCAGCTATATGGCGGCGGTCTGTAAATAATCGAGTTTGGACCAGACAATCCAGTGATCAACAGCAGGAGCCTTGATCTACGCAATTGGGATATGAAGACATGTGTCAACCAAGTCAGCGAGCCTGACAACCCAATCCCGTTAGTCGCCTTTTACGACAAGCATGGGTTACTGAAGCCAGTTCAAACCCGGTTCTTAATGGGTCTAAATACGAGTATATACGGAACACAAGTAGGTGGCACAGTAGTCGTCTCTTACTTGGCCTTAAATACCCGATATATGCTGAAAACAACAAGGGGCACTGTAGCTCACTCTTACTTGGGCCTTAAATACTCGGTATATACTGAACACAACTTAGGGGCACTCCAGCCCACTCTTTCTCGGCCTTAAATACCCTGTATATACTGAACACAATTAGGGGCACTCTAGCTCACTCTTACTTGGCCTTAAATACCCTGTATATACTGAACACAACAAGGGGGCACTGTAGCTCATTCTTACTTGGCGGTAAATACCCGGTATATACTGATTATGTATGTATGTATACACTGCTGTGAAGTATAATGTGGTAAACCATAAAATTTCATGGCAGCATTTAACCAAACTGGTTAACTGCAAACTGGCTGAATAATTACTGGTGTCAAATAATATGAATCAATACTTGTATCCCCGCTGTTATCATGCTCAAAAGGATCAATATATAACAAATGTATTCTCTGATACTGGCCTCACTCTTAAACACTACGGTACTCAACACAGGTTTCATTGGTAAACATCACCCTTAATTCAACAGTTCACAATTAGATGAATGCACACCTGTCTAAAGGGGCGGTGGGGTAGCCTAGTGGTTAAAGCGTTCGCTCATCACGCCCAAGACCCGGGTTCGATTCCCCACATGGGCACAATGTGTGAAGTCCATTTCTGGTGTCTTCCGCCGTGATATTGCTGGACTATTGCTACACGCGGCGTAAAACCCAACTCACTCGCTCACATCTGTCTAAAACATTCATCCTCAAATATTTGTATTTGTATGGTGGTGTATTAACACAGTGATTACACTGTGTATTTTTATATATTCAGCTTGGTCAAATAATGTGTCAAAAATTCTATTGAGCAATACATTCGTGTATTTTTTTGCATACTGATAATCTCTTATAACGTGTTTATTATAACCATTTATAATGTTTCATAATAACGGTATGAACACTTTTTCATGTAGTTTTGCAAACTGATTCAGACACCAAATGTGACAGCATTCAGTGAAAAAAGTATATACATGCATGTGTTTCAAAACAATTACAAATGATATGTGACAAAGAAACTCAAAATAATGAAATATTTTTCTGTGTTATTATCCAACTCGACAATTTTACAAGCAAGTTAAAACAATGGATTAAAACTGATAAATTGTCTTCATTACGTATTAAATAATAAATGAATGATAAATGGCTTTTCATATGAAATAAAATCCGAGGCTAAATATTGGAAGCATCGAAAAATCCTGTCATGAGCACCTTTCATGTGGATCTAAATGTTTTCCCTGGTTATTTTAAAGAGCGATCGAAAAATATTGCCGCTAAACACATCATGTAATGATGAAAGATGCGGAACATAATTGGCGACATTGGCGTCCTCAAATGTGCTAAAGTGTAGATGGTGACAGGGGCGGTGGGGTAGCCTAATGGTTAAAGCGTTGGCTCGTCACGCCGAAGACCCGGGGTCGAATCCCCACATGGGCACAATGTGTGAAGCCCATTTCTGTTGTCCCCCACCGTGATGTTGCTGGAATATTGCTAAACGCGGCGTAAAACCAAACTCAGTCAGTCAGTCAGTCAGAAGATGGTGACGATATTTAATTAATGAAGTCGTTCAGATCCATGTTTTATGTGTACAATTTCGTGACAATAGCGAACTGACACGAACATCAACGCACATGTTCGTGTTAAAGTGTGTGTGTGTGTGTGTGTGTGTGTGTGTGTGTGTGTGTGTGTGTGTGTGTGTGTGTGTGTGTGTGTGTGTGTGTGTGTCATTGTGTGTGTCATTGTGTACATTTCGCCCATGTAACGCGGACGTTCGTGTTTCGAAACTGCTTAAATATCATTTTTCAGCACTTACAGTAACGATGCACGTTGTTCTGCTGACGTATCGATGTAAATGCTAGATCAATCAGTTTAATGTATGAAGGCCTTAGGCCCATATACAAAATATATAACAATATAAAATTATGTTACAATATATAATGCTAAAACAATTCTAACCACCCGTTTCCCGATTTGTCTATCGTTAATATATGGCGAGTCACCAAGTGTGCCGCCATTTTTCAATCCTTGCCGGGGTCAGTGTCCAAGCTTCCGGGAACCAGTCGAAGTTTTCTGCAGTCAGCAGTTATCACAGAAATTGTACATTATAACTTTCTAATGCCTGTTTCGCTTTCCCCCTCATTGGTAATGTCCTCCTCGAAATTATTTTTCAGATTCAGTGTTCACGGCGCTTCAGTTGGAGATAGAGGGATAAAATCAGCTCCTGTGAAGGTAGGAGATCTACTGTTCTTAGGCTGTTTTCACCTTTGCAATATCACAACAAGCAACATTCATAAACCTCGGTGTCAGTTCATTGATACGCCAAAATCACTTCACTACCTTGTATAAACTGTATAGTATATTTTCAAAACATTCAGCGAACATGATAACCAAATTTAATTAATTCTGGAGCAAATAAATATTTTTTTTAAATCCCACTGAATGTTACATCCGTGGAAGAATATTCATGTTACCAAACAAAAGAGAGGTTGTAAACACTGAATTATCGAGTCAGTCCGAGATGCAGACTTTTTGAGTGAGGGTTGCCTTGAGCCTAAGTCAGCAATTTCAGGAAGATGTAGCGCAGTGTAGACCCTACAAGACAAACTAGGGGCTGAAAGGGTATACAATGACTCAACCTCCATAATCTTACAAAATCCTGTCCATCCGAATACAGATCCATTTAAGTTCACAAGTATGGGTTCCTGAACAATCCCTGTCAGTAGTTTGTTATTTTGTTTAACTCCAAACCTGTGGCTGAACAATATTGTAGTTACATAACAGCTGTCTGTAAACACTCCAGTCTGGACCACATGCTCTAGTGTCTGACATCATGAGCATCGAACTACCCAACTGGGCAGGGTGACGTCCATCATTCAACCCTATCCCGTTAATTAAAATGACTCTGAAGGTATTTCAAACCGCATCTTCCCACAGACAGCATAACTGTACATGTACTTAAACTATTAACACCAATAGGTCGATACAATTAACATCAACAATTCCTGTTAAAATCAATAGGAGCCCCAATGAGATGTGAGGTTCAGAAATTAAGGATGTCTTAACTTGCATCATTTCGGAAAATGGAGAAAGGACTGAGCAGAAGGGAAAAGGATTAGGGCATCATTTTTTATGTGTTTCACGTAGCCACCAAATTCTGAACATGGGTCGGTCGGTTGGGGGAAAAACACTAAAAAATAAACTTAATAAAGACAAAATTATCCGAATAATGTTCTTGATAAAAGGTTTCTTTGAGGGGTCGGCAACAAAATTAGACGGGTCGGTCGGGCGATGAGAAACACCAAAAATAAAAATACTGCCCTTTTAATGACTTGTACGTGTTTTTTAACCCTCTTTGAGCAACTATATTCCAGAAAGGAACAATTACATGTATTGTTAGTAATTGTTAGTAAACTGGATTATGGTAGCCTTTATTCCTGTGGTTCCACAGATACATACAGAAAAGAAAATGAAATTTTAAACACTAAGTAGACTACTGAGCTACCTCCCTTGACCATGTCGTCACTTTATTGTTGTTTTAAAACCTTCATAATTTTCCTGAAATAAAAGGTACACATGACATCTTCTAAGACAAAATCGCGGGGAGGAACGGGAGGGTCATAGATCCCATAATCCAGAGATAAGTTTACTAACAATTACTGACAATACATGTAATTGTACCTAATTAGGGACCCTTCATAATTTATGGCTTGGGGGGTGGGGGTGGTGTTGAAACGATGATGATTTTAAGTGGGGTCACCAATTTTGTTCTGGGGAGCACCTACACAATGCCCGGTTGGGACATAGTAATCTCGTCCTATCAGATTTAGAGGCAGAGGAATCTTAAAAATCCTGTGACCCAATGGACCATGAGCAGACGATTGTATCTTGGCGGCAAACTCGGGTTCTGATCTACACGTCATCTGTTTGTAACCTGCCGAGAAATTCATGGATTTAAAATCTATAGCATGCAGTTCAGACACTCTGGATGCTGTAGCAAAAGCCAAGAGAAATGTTGTCTTAAATGATAGGAACTTGAGTAACGTATCCTGCATTCGTTCATATGGAGACTTCTGAAGGGTCCCTCGATTTCCATGACTGAGGCAGTAGCCAAACGATATCCCTCAATTGTGTTATGTTTCAGATTCTCATAATTCCTGAGATACAAAAGAACGTCCTCTATGACTGGAATAGTGATAGGGGAGTCCAAAATTCCTCGCTCTCGTCTCCACTCGATAAATCGTCCCTCCTTAGCATCATACAAGGAAGCTGTGGATGCTCTGATAGATTCTGACATAGCCTTGGTAGCTCCCACCGTGAAGCCTTGTTCCTTGAGGGAACTGGAGATAGCCTCCACACGTGTAAGGCAAGTTGCCAGACATTCTTGTGAAACCTGTCGGATCTGGGCTGACTGATCAGATTGTTCCAAAGTGGTAGCCGTAGCGGTTTGTCTGTCAACAGTTGCAAGAGTCATGGGTACCATGGTCTGGC